CCCTAGGAACGTTAAAAAAAATTCCTTAGCAACGTCAAACAAATTCCCTAGCAACCTTAAAAAATTTCCTTAGCAACGTCAAAAAAATTCCCTAGCAACCTTAAAAAAATTCCTTAGCAACCTTAAACAAATACTTTAACAACGTCAAAAAAATTCCCTAGCAGCGTTAAAAAAATTCCTTAGCAACGTCAAAAAAATTCCCTAGCAGCGTTAAAAAAATTCCTTAGCCACGTCAAAAAAATTCCCTAGCAACGTTAAAAAAAATTCCTTAGCAACGTCAAAAAAATTCCCTAGCAACCTTAAAAAATTCCCTAGCAACGTCAAAAAAATTCCCTAGCAACCTTAAAAAATTCCCTAGCAACGTCAAAAAAATTCCCTAGCAACCTTACAAAATTCCCTAGCAACGTCAAAAAAATCCCTAGCAACCTTAAAAAAAATCCTTAGCAATGTCAAAAAAATTCCTTAGCAACCTTAACCAAACTCCTTTCGACGTCAAAAAAATTCCCTAGCAACCTTACAAAATTCCTTAGAAACGTCAAAAAAATTCCCTAGCAACCTTAAAAAATTCCTTAGAAACGTCAAAAAATTTAATATTGTTGTGACCACATTATTCAATTATTTGTGTTCTTATTTAACGCCGCAATTATAATTTTCGTGGAGGCCAGGCTACTGCATAACGCTCTATTTTGATTTTGTTACATTACTGTTAAACAAAATGTGGCCCGTCTTTAAGACGGGCTTATAGGCTAGTGTTAAATAACTTATGAAATTGCTATCCCACAAACTCACTCATACATACGGTAATGATAGTTTTATTGGCTTCTAAATAAAATAATTTATCGCTGTATCTCTCGTTGTTTAATACAGATCTTTGATAATATTGTATACTACACTCTACGATCTAGTAACTTACGTCTATTTGAATATTCGTCTAATTGAATAATTCAATTTATAATGTGATTATTATTAATTAATTTAATTAATTTAAATAATAATAAATTTAATCAAATTCAATTTGATTAAATTAATTAAATTCAATTTGATTAAATTAATTGAATTAAATTTGATTAACAGAATTTGATTTGCTAAATCAATGAGCAGGAAGAGGAGAGTCTCCTCAGGAGACTCTCTGCCTGTTAATCTAATGTTCAGCTTTGGGCCCGTGGGCTTATCAACGCTTTTAAATAGAGTGGAACGTAATTTTAGTTGTTGGCAACCAAGTGAGATCTCAGTTGAAAATTTATCTCTCCCAAAGTCAATATTCAAGAAGAAACATATCCCAAATTCACACGCCCGCTGGGTTAAACCCAGTAGTCAGCTTCGTCCACCTTTTTTGTGCTATTCTCCCTCAATTTTCCCATCCGCTTTAGTAACTACTATATTATTTAAAGCTAAAATTTATATACGTTCATAAATTCCATATAATTCGTTGGGGGAATGATTGTCAGTCTAATATTTAATTGTCTCGCTAGTTACACCGATTTTTGAAAAACTTTGTAGTTGTATTTTACACAGAAAGCTTTTTACACAGGTATCGATTACAACGCGAAAGGATGGGAAAATGTAGATAAATGTAACTCAAATTGCTTGCGCCAGAAGAACTTCAACCATTAGGTTGAGCTTATGAGTGATAATTATGTTGAGAATACTTCAATTGGAATTATCTCGTGAAATACATATTTCGGCAGGAAATGAGTTTACGCTGTGACTAATAGTTTCCTTAGAACTGTAATTATCTACCAGAATTACATATTTATGCTTCTCCTAAGTCTTGTCGTGCATAATTTCTTTTTTTTGCACGTAACGAACTTGTTCAAATTTCCTTATTAAATAGGTCACCCTTAGCATGCCTTCTGTCCGTGAATCCGTCTGTCTGTCCATCTGTCTGTCTGTGAATGAATTTGTTGCACAATTGATGCTAATTAAATGAACATATATATCCATTTTTCACTGACCTTTGCGCATAATTGGAATGCAACACTTGGTAATCATCCATTAATGGATGATTACATATCACTCCAGAGCAAGGAATGGGCATGAGGAAAGTTTTGAAACTTTGTTCGTTTTCAACGATATTCTCTTAAACAGTAATAAACCGTTGTAACGTTAGAAGTAGCTCACCCTGTAATAATGATTTTAGCATAATTTTGCACCAATGGTGCAGAATTGGCAGATAAAATAGACACACAATTTTGGCATACTTTTTCATTAATGGTGCAGAATGGGCGGACAAAAGATACACATAATTGTGATATAATTTTCCATCAATGGTGGAAAATAAACGAAGAAAATGCATCCATAATTTTGACATAAAATCGTGACAAATTCGACGTAAAAATTCTAATTATTTTTTTCCGTTCTAATGCACGTTTGGTGCGTTTTGCATCTTTTCCCTCAATTGTTTTGCACCATTTTATGTTACCGACTGTTCGAGACCAATGATGCTACTAATTTGCTAAAATTTGCACATGGGGCAAATTAATTAGCATCAATTGATGCAAAAACCTCGTGAACAGACAGACGGACAGACAGACAGACAGACGGACAAGAGGAATTCAATAGCTCCCGTGCTACGCAGGGTGAGCTAATAAGCAAGATTTCACTGGAATTCCACATGTACATATTTTATTATATGACCAAGAGAATAATCAGCATAGGAAATCGGAACCTACAAAATATTTCACAACGTCTCACAACAAGTCTACCGTGGCAAACATGATGATCTCTAGTTTTCATGAGACCGAGATATGTAAGGTGATGATATTTAATTGCATCGTGTGTGCAATGTTGAGACGGTGTTCATTGAAAGCACGTCATCATAAGAATGTTTTGCCAATAAATATAACCATCTCAACCCGCAAGTGAAAAATCAACAGCGTATTATTCTAATAGATATTTATGTATTATAATTTGAACCCGTAACACGTCGCGCATGCTATATTTTTCAAGCAATAAACAATTTTATGACAAGAACAAAACTGTTGTAATATGTATACACCTTGTACATGCACATGTACTTTCTGTAATTTTCCACTTTTCAACATTTCCACAAATGTTAATGCATGGAATATATTACCGCTAGACTTAAGGAACTGTAAGGACAGTAAAATATTCAAAGTTCAACTAAAGGAGTATATTTTATCTAATGATGACAAGATTTTCGGTTAAATTACAACTATGTTTTTATTAAGTAGCACAAGCTACTTTATGCGATCGGTTAGTTAGTCTGTCTGTCTGTCCGTCTGTCTGTCTGTCAACACTATAACTCGAGAACGGTTTGTCGCAGCGACCTGAAATTTTTAACACATGTTCTTCACGGGTAGGGGGTGACACCCTACTAAGGGGGTGTGGCCACTTTGTCGACATCATGTCGAAAAACGTCGCCATGGCCTAATTTCGGCATTTTTTGGGCGATTTGCATGAAATTTGGGCAAAACATGTTTTTCGGTGTTGTCGACATGTCGCAATATGGCGATTAAGGTTTCGACGACAAATTTTGTCGGCATGCCCTAATTTCGGCATTTTTTGGGCGATTGGCATCAAATTTGGGCAAAACATGTTTTTTTCTGTAACCACACTGAATTCAAACATAATACCCAAAAATTGAAACAATTGAAATTGCCGTGAATTCAATAATGTAGATTATTTTCATTCATCGTCTACGGTCAATAAGTCATACATGAAGAACAATAGGTGTCTACGAGTTCCATACTTTTTCTTACGTCAGACTATGGTTTTCCCGACAATTGTTTCTATCAAACTATGTATCATTTAAACATAATTAACATAATTAATAGGAAGGGCATGTGAAAATTATGAGGAAATATTTAGAAATGTACACCAATCGCTTCATCACGAGGAAAATTCTTCACCATACATAAGTTCTTATTCATATACTATTAGGGAATGATAATACACAAATGATTCACGAGATTAATAAATAATTAATGAATAATTTTTTCATGGATTTTAGTAAATTATTTTTTTAATGAATATTTATTATGTCTTCAATGCTCATTAATTATGAATGGTTATGGTTTTGCTCATGTTTCCATTATCGCTTGATGAATAATGTAGGAAGCAAATGTAGGGATTTATCTAATATTAAGAATTTTAAGTAAAACGAAGAATGAATGAATTAATACATATCTACTCAATAATTACCGAATATATTTTTTCTAATTTTCAACGAATTAATAATGATTAAATAAATTTTTTATTTTTTTTGTCAGTATAACATTATGTAGGTAGCAAACTATTTGCGAAAACGTGAATTTGCACTACATGTTCTCCGGTAAAGTTTTAGTTACACTAAATTATCCATCGATTAAGACCATTACGAAGGCAATCGGTATGCCGCAGTAATTAAGGTTCCCTTCTAAGTGGTTCCGGTGCAAACGTAGAATTTTTTACCGACATTATTACAAAGTGAATTAAAGTGAAACATGTCCCGACGAAGTAAACATATTACGCACTTACTCGGCTACAAACATGATGCGAAATCCTGCAATATATTTATTTTCTTAGCAACGAAACCTACACACATTTATGCACGTGTGGGAACCAGTTCCATGCAATTAACAGGGGCAGTAGCGGCGTAAGCTGGGGGGACATTAGCATTAAGGAGTAGGATAATGAGGGTCAAATTAACATATAGGGCGTCAATGAGCCTCCCACCCCACACCTCCCCCCGCCAACGCACTTGGAGAGAAGCAATTGCCAAGATTATTTATGTAAGTGATGAATGTTTTTTACATATTAAACATTGGTTGGTTGATTGGTAGTCATTCATTCACATGTTATTCCTCGATCATTACAAGTTAATGACTGGTTTACATCAAGTAACAGAGAGTTAGTAATAATTATAATGCAGAGTTAGTTTACTTCTTTATTAAAACCTTTCCACACACATTGTATAAAATACCCTGGTTTACAAACATTTTAGAAAACACTAAAGATAAAATCGTGGGTAAAATGTATGTAGATATGTACAAAGTAAGGTTAAAGTTTCTGCTCGGTATTTGCTTTTTAGTCTTACACAAGCAAACACCTGCGTAAGGTTTATCTCAATTCTGATACTTACATATGAATTGCAAAAATGGACAACAATATTGTATTAAATATATTTCTAACAATTATGAAAATTTGTCTCCATATTTTCCTCGGGGGTATAAATGTCATATACAATTACATAACATTGGAGAGACCGTTCACAGGTCAAGGGTGCGGTTGGGTGGAGCACAAAATAAAAGTGGATAAAGTTCAAAAGCAAGTTAATTCTTGGGCTGGTGGGGACAGAAAACGGAAAATGTGCACGGCTAGACCCGTATGGAAAAGTGTTTCAGTGAGCAAAACCAACAAATCTGGATACTATCAAATAGACTTGGGAAATCTTAACGACGTGGTAGAAATAAATGAAGAAGAAATGGTAAATTTTAATTGAAAATGTCTCTAATACTTTAAATTATTGATGAATTTGGTAATTAATTAGACAGTTACTGTCGAGCCGGGAATGTGCATTGGTAGATTGACCAGGATTCTTGTTAAGAAAGGATGGACCCTTCCAGTCGTCCCAGAAATCGATTATTTAACCGTTGGTAATAAACGTTTCATATATATTTAGTTTTATATTGCTTCGATTAAAGTTAGTTTAACTAACTGAATTTGCCATAATAATTAAGGTGGACTAATTGCCGGTGCAGGATTAGAATCAAGTAGCCACAATTACGGATTATTTTGTCAGTGTGTAGTAGAAACAGAAATTCTTATGCCGAATGGAGAAGTTCTTACTTGTTCCAGAGTAACATTTTTTTATAAATTAATTGAATTGAATTTAAGTCTTAATTAACGATTTACACATCTAATTAATCAGGAACAAAATTTTGACCTTGCCAATGCCATTCCCCATTCATACGGCACAATTGGATTCATAACAGCCCTAAAATTTAAAATGATTCGTGCCAAAAAGTATTAAAATAATTAAACTTAAACCAAATCAAACTAAAACCCGAATGAATATTTCGACATTTCCAGATACGTGGAACTAGACTACCGCTTCACAAATACGATTGAAGACGCCCTAAAATTAATCAATGAGGGAAGTTCGAGGCATGAATTTATCGAAGGAATTGCATACTCCAAGGAAAAATTCTTAATAATGTTTGGAAACATGGTGGACACGGTAGACCCTACAAAAGGGAGGGAAAATCCAATTAACCGATGGTACAAGAAGTTTTTCTACCTCCAAGTGGAAGAAATCGTGGAAAAATTGATAGAAAAGAGAAACAATAACCAAATAATTGAATACGTTCCCCTTCTTCAGTATTATCATCGTCACTCCAGAGGAATGTTTTGGCTGGAGAGATATGCTAACCCATTTTTTTATAACAGCCAAATTTTCATGTGGCTTTTCGGCTGTACTTTTCCTTTTCACATTGACATCTTAGGTTTAATATCTCGACCTATTTATGACGTTTTATACCAATCTTTCATGATACAAGATTTTGTTGTTCCTGAGGAAAAAACAGCGAAACTCTTTAATGAGGCCGACAAAATGTTGAATGTGAGTGTGACACATTCACAATAGAATAAATAATTTATCGTGGTAAATGATCACCAATAAATTTAATTGATTTAGATTTACCCCGTTTGGATGTGTCCTGCTAGAACTTCAGAAACTGGAGGTTGTTTCAATATCCCGGAGAAATATTTGAATTGCTTGTACATCGATTTAGGATTTTATGGCTATCCTAAAAAGAACAAAGGAGACAAATTGAACAGGAAACCGTTGCTAAGACACTTTGAAAAGTTTTGCTTAAAAAATAACGGGTAACTCATATCTAATTTTAATAAAACATTTTATTTAATAATTAAGATTATTTTTTCAGCTACCAAGGTCTTTATGCTGATTGCTACATGAGCAAGGAAGAATTCGAAACTATGTTTGACTTCAAATCTTTCTACTATAAGGTGAGAAAAGAGCGAAATTGCGACGAAGCTTTCCCCACAGTTTACGACAAGATTTCAGCCAAGGCTCGCAATTTGGAAAGTGATGACGACATGAATCATAAACAGTGTTAAAATTTGAATAAATAAAAATATATTTAAAATTAAAGCAAATTCGTTGGAATATTTTTAATACGGCAGGTTTTTAACAATAATTTCGTACTTATAACATTTCTCATTTTATAAATACTTTTGTACATATTTTACATATTATCGAAATCTGGCTAATTGGTTATCATATAATATCTACGCCTATCAAGAAATATGACATTCTCAATTCCAGAAATAAGTTTTTCGTCTAATTGAAATTTTTGGAAAGTTACATCGCTTCCGTTTTCAACCTAGAATATTACAGTATTTGTCGCAAGAACTTGGGTGATTTCTGGTTTGATTATTACGTAATGTAATGAGTAAAGTCTATTCATCATCCGCATAATAATCAGAATGAGAATCAGAATGAGAATCAGAATGAGAACCAGAGGCATAATCAAAAATCGAATCCGTTCTCTGATTGGTTAAGATAGAATGCCAACAGCCAATCAAAATGCAGGAATGTCACGGAAAATTTCACGGGACGCACTTTTCGAAATTATAATATAGATATTGAGAGTATTTTATCGTAAAAAATCACAAAAAAACATCAGGGGGGGAAATTTTATGCAATAAATCGGCATAGTTGGTCCAACCCTGCGAACCTATTATCAAGGCATTATTCCTAAAGTCATTCTTGCATACACTGCAAAAATAAGCAGTATAAATGACTCTAATTTTAAATCATGACCAGGGTCCGATCGGTTTTTAATTACCCTGTATTATCTTATTATCTAATATATAGGTACATAATTACCTAATATAATTACCTAACTACATAATTACATTAAGATATGTATGTGTTCGAAAAAATCAAAATTTCAATAAAGTTGAGTTTGGTAGATGAAGCAACTGTATCGGATCACAAAAATGTTCTAATTATGAAACAAAATTGAATTTCTGGCGAAGTTTTTAATGAACCAAAACAGGGTATTTTTAAATGCAACACGATTTGAGATTCAAACGAATACTTTCGCACATAAATATGTATATAAGTTTGAAAGTTAGTGGGTAAAATTCAATTAGCTGTAGAACTTTATCAAATATTCTACACTTGAATAAATTTACGATGAGTTCAAATAAGTAAATGTACGAGGTCTCTATAATACTATGCAAGCAAGATAAACTCATTCCAAGTTGTGGCATGCTTTTTACTTTACCCTCAATATTTAACGACGTGAAATCATCATTTTCCTACATAGTTAACTACATACACCCAAGCAAAAAATAATTCATGCAGGAGAGACAAAGTCCGATACTTACAGATAAAATAAACACACTTAAAAGTCTGGGCTTAAAGGCAGCTCTTCCATGTTACATACATAATAATAACGGGAACGTTCATAAAGCATGTGATCGATCGAAGGGAGGAAACTCTACACTTTGTCACATTTTATTAACTAAACTACAACTCAATAAAGTGCGGCACAGCACGATACATAAGTAGCGCAAGCATGCGACCACACCCCCTGGCGCCGAGGGGATGTGGTCCAAAAGTTTACTGGATCCTCCCCCTGGGGTCATGTGCATGATGCCGCAAACCGATTTCGATTATCTTGATGCGTTCTCGAGTTATAGTGTTGACAGACAGACGGACAGACGGACGGAGGGACAGACAAACTAACCGATCGCATAAAGTAGCTTGCGCTACTTAATAAACTACATAAATGCTCCTGATAAACATAGTAAAATATCCACCACTCTGCGTCCAAAGAGAGTACATACATACTTTATTTTATGAAAAATATATACATTCGTATCCACCTATTTCTTTGTTAGGTTTTTAGAACTTAAAAAATATGCAATGATTAAACGAAATTAATTTGGCGTAGAAATTAGTTTAAGCTAAAACCACCCATGTTCAATTTATTTCTTACTTAACAGAACAGCAAGTAATTACGCGTTTCATGATAATTTATATTTTGCTTTATCATGCACAAGTTGCACATTACAGAATTATATCAAATTCGAATTACACGCTTCAAATACATAAAATTTATTCATCCTTCTTGCTTCCCCCATTTGTTGATGTCAGCATTGGTGAACACCTCGACGCGATTTTTTTCATCTTTTCGTTTCCTAAAAGTAGTTTCAACCACAAATTTTGCCAAAACTTCCCCCTCCACTGACCACCAATGCCATCGGTCCAAAAAACGCATCATCATTACGCCCCAGGATCCAATCATACCCCCACCGTTAAGTTCAGTCAAAATGGCGGCCGGCTTATAGATTGATACCCGAGGGTAATTTATTTCACATAATAGGTTATCCGTTTCAGCGCCGAAACGACCAAACTGAAATTTTGCAAAAATTTATTGAGGGTATTCAGTTCGAGTTCGCAATGTTAGCAACGTTCGCAAAAAAATAAGGTTAGTATTGAGTTCGCAATATATTTTTCACTGATATGCAGAATTTTGGGAAAATTTCACAAATCTCCATTAGTTATCGAAGTTTTGCCTTTTGAAATTTTTGAAATTGCTTATTTCAGACTTCGAGAAAATTTCAACAAACATTTTGTCATTTGCGAAGCGTCTCTTCGAAAAAAATTATGTTGCGATTCGAACTCGTAATGAATATCCTCATTAACAATAAATCATATCAATTTTTTTAACTAAATTTTGAAACAAATTCTATGAAATTTTAGGTACAAAATAACATAATAGAAATGCTTCCTTACCTTCATCCACGAATCTTTGTTGGCCAAATCTCCACTCATTCTATGGAAATGTTTACAGCCGCCATTTCTCGCCAATTTCGCCACAGCAAGAAGCCACCCTCTCGTCGTCCGGGTAAACGTGGCCTCATCCGTTTTCATCGGATTCACACCCAACGCATAAATCCCCACGTCGAAGCCTTTCAATTTCTCGCCAAAATATGCAGAATTTTCGGAAAGTTGGTCAAAGTCGACCACATCCTGGCTGAATTTTGTAAAGTCTCCGGGAAATTTTTCTCCTGAATTATTCTCCTCCAAATCAACCACCCTGCGACCGAAGAGGGTCACCTTTTGGAATCGTGGTTCCAGTGCGAGCGCGTTTACAATGGCGCGACCAACTCCTCCCGTGTAACCGAAGATGAAAGCGGATAAATTTTTGTTGGCTTCCATTTTATGAAAATTCAGAGTATGTAATGATAAAAGTTTGTTGCGGAGTAAGAAAATAAGTAAACTACACGAATAAGTAAAGCGAAATGACACGGATTTCATACATGTGCAACACATGACTCTGACTCAACAGTTTTTTTTTCCTTATCTCAAGGTTGAGCAGACCACAAACAAGAAAGGAGAGATAATAATAATGCAATGTCATTATTATTTCGTGTACATGTTTGCCAACCTGCAGAAGAGTTGTGTATGCATTTGTGTGCATTTAGATCTGTTCTCACTCAACGGTTGTGTCTGTGTCTACCCAGTTCGGCCAATTGTTATGTCCAATGGATAAGTTAATGTAGCGAACCTGGTTTATTGAATTTTGAAAAAATAACGATATTACGAGAAAGACCATAAAATTATCTTTAAGATACACCTACTAGTTTTCAAAAATTGCTCGTCTTGAAGGGACACCAGGCCAAAGTCTTGGCATCCACTTTTCGGTCACAGTACAGTAGGGATCATGGTCTCATTTCTAGGCGATAGATTTTTTCTTGGATTCCGAACTTATGTGGGGTTTAGTACATATGTGTAGCTTCAGTTTGGACCATAGGTCATATTTTTGCAGGTTGAGGTTCCGCGATGGTGAATTTTCTTGATCCAAAGTGGAGTCAGAAATTTAGCACTTCAACCACCCAAATACTATTTTGGCCTCATATAAGCAGGACCAAAATCCTGATGGCATGTCTAGTCGCCATTTTTGGATTGAGAGTGGTCCAGGGGTTGCGAAATTTGCTTTCATTACTTCAAAAAATAATTTTTGACGTAAAATTCCGCCCCTAGGGGAAGAAAATCCACTTTTTCAGTCCAATCCAACACTCAAAAAAACGTAGTAATAATCATTACTGTTAGGAATGACTATGTGGCTCTACCACGTCGGGTATAGATTGTCACAAAAATTGTAATAATATTCTCTGCGAAATTCAAATTTATTACAGTGTGGTATTTATTTTGTTTCCACACTAATAAATTTGAATTTCGCAGAGAATATTATTACAATTTTTGTGACAATCTATACCCAACGTGGTAGAGCCACATAGTCATTCCTAACAGTAATGATTATTACTACGTTTTTTTGAGTGAACTTACGCCCAAACACAAAATCACAAAACCAAGATGCCGGGTCCGATTAACGTTTTTGAAATTTTTATGAATAGACTGGACCGATGGGGTGTAGATATGGTCGTTTTGCTATTTTATTCATCCTTAACCATAACCATTTTTTCATCTGTTTACAAGTATCGGGTTCCATTTTTCAAGCGCGTACCGCATGATCGGCCCCCGGTTTCTAGTGAGTCTATTTTTTACTTCGCATGAAGTTAGCAAGTGTTTCTCTTTACCTCTTAAAAATATAGGTCCAAGGTCGAGTTTAAGAGCCTGAAACGTGGTTTTACTTTACACGTTCATTTCCAGGGCCTTTTTTCCTTAGGCCCGGCATGGATTCCGACGAACTTGGTTTTTCAGCACTTTTATGAGTCTGGGCGACCTTTTTTGACCGTGGCCTTCTACTTTTCTTAGGTCACCAATACTGCCAGTGTCAATGTATCATTTTATGCTACGGTTGACCAATTTGCGATAAATTCCGAATTTACTGAGCACTTGGAAAATCTCGGATTTTTTTCTAGCTAAAAAATATTGGTAAAAATTGCAACACGCTGTCATTTTGACACCTTGTGTCACACTAAAATTCTAAACATGGTTTCTGATAGACAATTGCATGGGGATTTCAATAAAAAATAGTACAACTTTCTAAAACAACAGCAACGAACTTTTCCTTCGCGCGAAATCCGTTGGACATAACAATTGGCGTACTGGGTACACAAGTTATGTTAAATCCTAGTCGACAAGTTTTTATACATACGTATGCCTACTGTCCATCAAGATTATTATGCACATAGATCTGTTGTTGCGTGCAATTTCTCGGTTTTCTGAGGTATGAGAAGATTATCAAAAGAAGAAAATCCAGTTAGCGTTGTGGTTATTATGGCAAAACATTAATTCGATTCAGCTTTATTGCGGGACATGGATAAATAGTGGATAAACAAATGTTTGTATGGTACAAAAATTGTCTTGAAGGAAAAAGTAGGGAAAGCAGTTCCAACCAAATTATGTTGTTCTACTGAATTTACGAGATATTCGATGGTTGACGTGAGGACGCCCATTATAATTTTCTGTATCGCGCTTACATAATTACCTAAGGAAAAATAAGTCATCGATACCTCATGAAATACATATAAATATGTATCACAAGTTCTGGAATTTTCGTTCACAACAATATATAAATGTTTATCCCGTGATATTTTTACCATTGATTTTGACAGTTTGTACATACATATGTAATAAATCCACCAAAGTAGTGAAATACATAAATAACAATTCATCAAAATGCAAACATCTTAACCAAATAATTAATTGCTACTTATCTTACAAGGTACTTAAGTATATAGGAACTACGCATTGCTACAAAATTCTGTTGATCTGGGTCTAATTTTGTAAAGTAGTGAAATATGTCATACTTAATGATTTAGACCGATATTGGCAAACGAAATGACATTCATTGTCATTCATCGTCGCCCTGCCACCATGATTCGTGGCAGGGACCATATTTCACTTAAATATGGGGAAACCGTCGTTCATGTATTTAAACGGAATTGAAATTTCTTCTTCAAAAAATGAACGGTTGGCCATACAATTTCCAAAATTCGGGGTTTCCTAACTTTTTGACACTCTTTGGCTATAATTAAGTATTATAAGTAATAAAATAAAACTTTAGTGAAACATTTATCGAATCTGCTCCTTCAGATTATTAGTATTATTTTTGTCATAACTCTAATGTTTCCATTAGCTGTATAAAGTTGCAATTTATTACTTGAGGAGTACGGAAAATGTGACCCGTTTCACTAATATTAATTCAGCATACCAGTATAATTTTTTTATGATCTAATTTTGTAATTAACCTGTCAAAAAAGAGTCCACAATTTTTAGTGGAACAACTAGAAAAATAACGTGTGGTGATGAAACTAATTGCATTAATTTTTAAAATAAATTGATTGTAAACTTTTCATTGCACTCCATCGTTTCGCCTAAGAACGAGATTCTTCGGGTTTAATTCTAAGTAACCCCTGTCTCACAAGGGAACCAGTTTCGGTATCCCATCTAGATTTGCTTCGAAGTAATCTAAATCGTTAGATAATTTACTGAAACCAAAACTTTGTCATAGAACGTGCGGTGCCAAATTATGTTTTCGCGAAATATTTGGCGATAACTAGATGTAAAAGTGCATTTTTACGATGCTTATTAAGTAGCGCAAGCTACTTTATGCGATCGGTTAGTTAGTCTGTCTGTCTGTCCGTCTGTCTGTCTGTCAACACTATAACTCGAGAACGCATCAAGATAATCGAAATTGGTTTGCGGCATCATATATATGACCCCAGGGGGAGGATCCAGTAAACTTTTGGACCACACCCCCTCGGCGCCAGGGGGTGTGGTCGCAGTGTGATCGGGGCAAAATGAGATTTATACCGCACATTAATCTATGGATGAAATCCAGTTGAATTATGTGTATCTGAGTTGTGCCACACCCCCTCGGCGTCAGGGGGTGCGGTCGCGGTGTGATCAATTAATTAATTCGAATGAATTAATGAATTAATCATTAATTAATTAATTAATCAATCAATTAATTAATTCAATTAATTAATTGCGCAAATTAAGTCTCAGCATTCTCAGCATTATTGCGCTACTTATGTATCGTGCTTTGCCGCACTTTATTAACATGCGCTTTTGTATTCAATGTAAGTGTGAGTGTGAAAGAAATGACGCTACTTTTGGAAAATTTTTGCACATTAGTAATTATGTGCGAATTTGCAAAAACTTGCCAAGTTGCAAAATTTTACAAATAACAAATTCGCGACTTTGCCAAATTTAGCCAAAATTTTATATTTTATTTCATACTTTGTGCATGGCAACATCATTCAGAATTTTTTCCCAAAAATTTCCCGAAATTTGTAAATATTATTACTTGCCGTAAATTTCTGATTCGTTTGGAGTATGTGCGATAAATGGGTAATAATGTGTATAATACTCATGCCGAAACTTATGAATTTTAAGAAATGTGAATAAATTCCTGTGGAACGTTCTGCAGTCCTTCGGATTTTATTTAGTTATTGACAACTGAAAAAACAACTGAAGGAAATGGCAATTTTTTGGGTGCTGTTGGGCCATTGGGGTTTTATTTTTTATTTTTGCAGGTTATTATAGAGTAATAATAAATAAATCACGTAAAGTTGAAAGAAAAGTTCAGTTTTGGGGTTAGAAAACCCAAGATCTTGACACCTGGATTTTTTACTGCCATCCGGGACTAATATTTCCAAGACGGTTGTAAAACTCTGAATGCATAATATTCATGTGTTTTAAATAATTTACATATTTTTTATTAAAAGTACCTAAGTAGAGAATTTTTGTGGGTTCTAAATGTCCATAAATAAAAACCAAATTATGAAGTGATTTTAAAAATTAATTAAAAATGTTGTCTGGGCCGGATGGTTTTTCCAAAAAATTGTTTATTAGTTACCGCATTATTTTTTTCGAATTTTGACAATGTCGATACAGCCTTGATAGTATTGTTTCCTTGCTCAGTAGCAAATCATTCTGCCCCCATTGCAGTTAAACCTTCTGCCCAGAGGGTACCCGTGAGCTCGACAACATTCCTTTCGTTCGGGTGAACTGCGATTGCACACTTCGTTACACGCGTCGACAAATGTTCCTTGAGCTTCCACCAAGGAATAGTGGAAAGCTGGGGGCAAAATATTTACAAATTGGTTAATTAATTCGTTAATTAATTGTTCCCTTCCCTAAAAATAGTGACGAATCCGACTTACCTCCCAAAACAAGGAGAACAAGGAATAAACCAAATTTCGGGTTCATTTTGGTAGAAAATTCAACACTTCGTTCCTTTGCCAACTTTGATTTGAACTGGTCTGAAGACTGGGGAGGAAATGGGTCCTTTTTATCTGGAGATTTTTATTCATATGCAAATTGTTCTAATCACAGAAATCATGCATAATTCATTACTTGACCAGTAATCAACGTACTTACTCTACTCTGTAGAAGTGACGTCAAATGTTTCATCGAAAACAACCTGAAGCTGTGGCTGAGTTTACGACAAAACACGTATCGAATAATATGTATGCCATGAATGCTTATTAATATGAAAAGCAAGAGGCAGTATGTGCATGAATAACTTATTTAACACGTGTGAGGCTGCTGAATAAATGAATACATGTATTGACAAACCTGTTTTTTATATATTTTTCTAGTGTAAAATAGGATAAACTAATAGCACATGTGAATGACGGTTGGCAAATACTGAATGAAATTTTCATGAAAAAATGCATTAAAGTGAGTGATGAGTGATTTCCAAAGTTAAAAAGCGTCAGCAACTATCCTACAATTTAAGATATTCACTTGCAACAAAGGTAGACCCTAATAAATAAATAATAATACTTCCAGAATTAATTAAAAAGCGATTTAAATTTAATTTCAGGTTTTAGCAGGGGGAAAGCGTAAAAGACAATTAAATTACGTGGAATCAGATGAAGATATGGAAAGTATCCCAACTAAAATTCCATTCCAAACTAATGATTGCATGTTAAATGATGGCAAGTATAACATATGTAAGCCTTGCTGAGAAGAATCTAACGCAAAAATGATTTTTTTTGCTGAAATGAGATTGCGTATTTATGGATAATCCAACAGAGTGGCCTGATTGGGAAATATCAAGTATTGATAGTGAAGATTCCTCACAGTTAAATAACTCATTTCTAAGCAGTCCGGGGGAGGAAGAAATTAAAAACGTAATAATTATACTAAATAATTGCTAAATCTCATCTTAAACTATTTAATTCTAAATTTTGAACAATTTCCATCGAAATCATGTCCAAATTTCTGAAAATTTCTGCATAATGTATGCGAAAGAGTAATTTTTATTTGTTTCGCTTCGATAACTCTACATTGTTGTTGTCCAATTTTTTTAGGACCCCAGATGAAGGATCCATTCAAATTTCCGTGTAAAACTCATATTTCGTGTTGCGGTACGGCGCCAAACTAAAAAATATGCATTTTCGACCATTTCGAAACCTCCATAACTTTTGCAGTTTACGTCGGATTTTCAAAGTTTTGTACTTAAAATGATCACTAGGGTCAGAATTGTAAGGCAAAAAAATAATCGACGAAATATCGTCGAACACTTAATATTTTTTCCACGAATCCAGGCGTCTTAGAAAATATCAAAATTTTCACTGGTGATTCACTGGTGACGCAGTTTACACTTATTAGGAGACAAATCTAGGATTAAATCAATCCGAAAAAATTAATTTTATTATTTTCACAAAATCCCAAAATCAGCAAAAAAAAGTCAGAAAAATAAAAAATTCAAAAATCACAATCTACTGATTAGGCTAAAAACAAATGTCATCACCGAATTTAATTCTACAGCCCAGATTCCCTCGCATTGATCAAAGTCAGCGACATGGTTTGATTAAAACAAAAGTTCTGAATATTTAATGGGGTTCTTCGACCGATAAAGTTTGACCCGAATTTCACCTTGAGCACGGAGAAGGACGCAACCTGTGCCGTGATGAGACCTCGTTTTTGCAGATACCGTACCTCCATGCCCTTTCTCAGCAGGGATGGTCTCACATCGGACGACGCGCTGTGAACCCAGGATGCCAACGTATATATCAAAATGTTGGCTACGATAGCATCCATCCCCATCAGGGGGAATATTACGAAGCCCGGCATGGACACGTCGCCATGGTGATTTATGCAAACGTATTGAGCAATCAGCTGTATTCCGGGACTGCAGAGGAGCAAGGCGGGGACCACGCGACGCATGAGGAATGCATTGAACACGTTTTCCAAGAGTTGAAGACACCGATACATTCTGACGCAGGTGGCTAAATCGGCGGGATTTTGGATTTTTTGAATTTGCCTGTGAAACCAGCGCAAGAAATGATTATGGTTACGAGTGTGATAATCAGTACTTTATTTCTGTGTAATAATTAGTTGTTGTGATTTAGAGTAATAATCACACTGTTTTGTATTATAACACTTTGGGATTTTGGTAGTCATCACACCGTGATTTAATTTGATTATCATATTCTGTTATTTTGAACTATTTGTATTATGTGATTTAATGTGATTTACTGACATTTTCCATTTAGCGAAACACGTAACTGGAATATGATCACACAGATCCCATTAAAACCACAGTGTAATTTCAGTATTGATGAATAAAATCAAGTTACTAACGTCTCCAGAATCTTGAGATATTCCAGAAATCCAGTTATCCCGCCCAGTAACACGTAGCACAACCAGGTCGCCCCGGAGAACATGGTGTGATACCCCATCCAGCTTTCGAAGAGGTGGATTCCCACCTGAAATCCGGGATTCCTACTTTCCTCCCTACAGTTCGGAATCATGGAGAGGATGAAGGGGGCCGTGCAAGGGGCGTAGGTCAACAGGACAAGTTGTAGGATTGGGATGACACAAATTGAGAACTCCATTAGCCAGATGAAGAACCTCATTATTTTGACGACCCCAGAATGCATGGAAATATGGAGGAGATCTGCGGTCGGTAAAGCATTGCAATTATTTCCGTAAGATTATAAAAGCTCTATTTTCCGGACCTCTCAACGGCCCAGCCTCATACAGAAGGAAGGAGTTGATGACCTGGATTGGTCCCGGACTGAGCCCGTAATTCCACCGGGACACGGCGCCGATCAAATATGTCATAAGGAAGATGGAGCCTTGCAATTTTACCGTCGTGCTCAACCTCCCAAAGCAAATGTTTGCCCCCATCGCGCCACAATAGAGGGCGGAGAGGACGCACTGGAGCTTAAATTTGAACAAGGAATGACCATTTTTGATTGGGACTAATCGCCCCAGATTTTCGTTGTACCGAAAGGGTATGCAGTTTAAGAATTTGCAAAATTTCAAGTGAAATTTAAGAATCGGAAGGAATTTAGCGGAGAACATTTTTGTCAATGCAAATTCTTGGGTGACGTGTGAAAGGTAGAGAATATTTCGCTTCGGATATATATACGCGTTTCTTGTGGAAGCATTGATTTAATAAACTATAGATATCGATACCTGTCTTATCATGAGGAGCGTGTGGCAAGCTTAATTAAATGTTCAAGTTATTCTTGGATTTCTTATGATCATACTGAGCAATGTTGTAAATACATACATATTTAGATGAACGATACATAACCTGGCAGAGTTATTGATCGGTTATTAAATCAAATTCAACCCAATGGGGACACACGTGGTGAAATATAGTTCAGGATATGTATAATATAAGACATATCCTGATTGCCCTTTGCATAACTTGGTGTTCTATTTATGTAAATGATTGAAGTTCAACTTTTAAATCGATCGGATAGTCGTGTCAGAACTAACTGCGATGGTCGGAAAGACAGACAAACACGAAAACTTGCTAGCGAAAATTGGCGATATTTTATGCATAAAATTTCGTGCATATTTATGCAAGATTTATCGAATTTATTTGTGCATGATTTCGCTTACCATTTTCTGTAGAAAAGATAACCAGATTCTGGATAAACTTTCGGACAAAAAACTTCATATAAATGCAAATAGAGCGATGTATCGTTTTGGTTAAATAGAACACAGAATAGAAGATAATGGAAACAGACGTTTATTTGAGAAATTTGCAGCAGCGACCGGTTTCATAACCGTTCCTTAGGCTTGATCAATCCAGAACGTATTAAACGTATTAAAAATAATTCAATTGATTTGTTCGAAGACATGCCAGGATCAGGCTATTTTGGACAATACTAAAAAAATTGAAAAAAATTGACGTTACATACTGTGGATGAAGTTCTAACCCTGCAGACTTATTACACCGCTTTGTAGCATTAATTTCACGACGTCACCGGTCAAAAAAATTTTTTCCTCCAAACTGGTCCAAAATAAAAGTCTAGCATGGGAATAGTATAGAAAAATTATTTTTAGCGTTCTATGACCCCTGGGTCATGAATTAAGGGCCCCTGAAGGGTCAAATAGCGTTCCCTGATAACCCCATGCAAATGGGGTATCAAATTAATCCCCTGGACCAGGGGAACCAGAAAAATATTTTTATAAATTTTTATGACCCTTGAGTCGTGAACTAGGAGCCCTTGAAGGGTTAAATATCATTCCCTCACAACTAAAGGCAAGTGGGGTATCAAATTAATCCCCTGGACAAGGGGAACCCAAAAAATATTTTTCTGGATTTTTTTGACCCTCAGGTCAAGAGTTAAGGGCCCCCGAAGGGTCAAAATAGTAACCATGGTAACCCGATGCAAGTGGGGTATCAAATTAATCCCCTGGCAAAGGGCAAGCATAAAAATATTTTCCTGAATTTTTTTGACCTATCGGGCAACAGTTAAGGGTCCCTGAAGGGTCAACATAGTAACCATGGTAACCAGGCTTCATAGCCTGTCTCAGGCAGCATACTTATGTTTGTATAAACTGGTCCCTTTCTCATATACATATCTTTATGCACCATCTTGTTTGGGGAAGGATTGGGTTAATGGTTGGGGTGATGAATATCCCCTAAAAACTGATGCATTATAAATATATGAGGTGATGGGAGACCCCTTATCCTTGCTGGCTTCTCCAGTCGACATTTTGAAATTTAAGTTTTGGAGTTTGTACTTACTGGTATCCGCTCAATTATTAATTTTTAAAATTGAAGATGACGTTGCATAACTTAATTTATGGAACACTGTATGTGTTATATATAGTTCATTGTGTTTGTGGTAAAAGTTGCGCGAATGTCGATAAAATAGAAATAGATAAACAGGTTAAAGTTGTGTGTGATGAGACGGATAACCTGGGTGGATTGGTTATCTGGTTCAAGGAGACATTACCATCCAATTGCAGTGGATTTCTGATATGTAATCAAACGATGTGTATGGAAATTAATGAAACTGTTATGTTCTTCAGTGACACTATCAAAATTGAAGAAGTAGAGTATGAAAATAAAACCATACGGGTATGGGGAAGTGAAAGCTATGTAACTTTTTATTTTAAAAGTTTCGTGGATGCCAGCCGTTATCTACTTATCTAATTTCAAACGCCAACCACACATTTCCATCCAATAAACTATCCGACTTAACTCAGGAAAAAATTAGTGACACTTATTGTAATATAGCGGCTGAAACGAAGAACTGTACCACCAAGCAAGTAGTAACTAAAGCTATTCAAGGCACTACTCCTCTTCCTTCTGCATGCACAGTTCTAATTCTGTGCAACCAAATATCATGCATCAGGTTCAACTACACAAGTCTCCTGCATTCAGCCTTCTTTGCCAGAAAGCACACGTTTATTCCTACCAACGAAGGTAAATTGCCATCTTGCTTTCATCTTCGTCAAGATGCATTTTTCCATCCTGGATCTCTCCGACGCCCACGTGGTATTATACTTTCCTTGGAGAAAGCTAAAGTTAAAAAGGCGCCAAGCGGATTACCTTTCAATCTCCCTGGATATAGGTAATTGGTTATTTTGGATGAGTTTTTTTATTTTTGAAGTTGCGATTGGAATCTTTATGAAATGATTCTTTATTAACATAATTTTATTATTGGTATTAATTAAGATATTGCGGGCCTGCGACCGATATTGAGAAGCAGGATGATCTCGGTGGCCCAATAAATGCTGTTGGTAATTGTTGCCCAATTTATGCTCATACACTAACCAAGTCAAATTTGTGAAAATTAATTTTATAATTTTTGTGTTGATATTATTCACAGATGCAGCATGCCGCAAACATGACGTCGATTATTTGCTAGGGGTTCTACCATCAGAGGCAGACGAGGCAGACGAGGCACTTCTAACTACTGTGCAATTACATCGAAAAGATCTGTTCCCACTTTTTGCGGCCGCAATGAGTGCCAAAAAATATTTCGAAAGTCAAATTGGAGGGTCCTATACATCCTTCTTATATTTCTACCCAGCAGGATTTTATCCCAGTTTAACTTTGCATTTTGCACATGAAACGGTGTACGATAAAACTTCAGCAGGAACACTAACAACTGCTCGTGCCATCTGGGAAGGCCAAGCTCAGGAGTCAAAGTGGATAAGTATTCTGCAAAATATTTGGCTAGGGAGCTGCTACACGGTGGATCCAGAAACTAATGTAAATCCACCGCATATCGATGTAAGATTATATTTTTGCACTATTAATGCTAGCTCAGATTCATCGATTTATTGTCTGAGAGCACAGACGCATTTCATACAAGTTTATCACTTTTAGCAAAAACAGTCTGACATGAATTCCCTCGTCATGCCATGCTCAAATGTGGATGAAATGGACACCAATGCAGACGCACTTGTGAGAAATATTGCAACATATTTATAAATAGCAGCGACCGCGGATGTTGTGGGGGACATCGTGAAATTGTTATTGTAGTAACAAGCTCATGTACGTTTTTGTTCTGATCAATACAGGAGGATGGTGATGGAGATGATGAACGTGGGCACTGTGGACAACGTGAAGAGTTAGGGGAAGGGTCAGCTCCTGGCGGTGAATCACCAATGGACACTTCAAATACAGAGTATGCATCCAAGAGTACAGAAGGTGAAGATACATGTGTGGGAACAGACATTTACCCAACGGCCCCTTACAAAGGGGGATGTAGGATGATTTTGAACGAATTTGCAACCAAGAATGATGATAACCAGATTTCGTTTATTGAACATGTTCGTATTTGCCAAAAGGCGCTCGTCCTCCAAAAACTAATTCACTTAACGGATTCGTTGAAATAATCCTTGTGGGCGGGATGACTATCCACCAAGTAATGTACGCATCTTTCCAGAACAAGATCTTCTCAATCATACAAGAGAAACAAACTACGCAACGCAAAATAAAAAATTTCTACTTTGTCCTCGGATCGAAACAAGTTGCACCAGATATGTTGTTTTCTGACAGCCAGATTACTAGTGACCATCTCGAAGGAATCTTACCTGCCGAGTCATTGACGTACTGCATAATTTTACTTCACTTCGGACACAATCAAGGGCAATTTCATCAAGCAGTTCAATCTTTTTCACTAATCCAAAATGTTCCACCCGGCAGTGACACGGTAGGCTATCTCCCAACCCCCATAAACGACGAAAAGATGAACCTTATAAACGAGTTCATTCAAGATGTCCTAATTGTTGGTCCTCCTTGTCCGGATTCTGAGTGTGGATATTTCTATTCCCTTCTCAGAGCTAAAGAACAGGTATTGGGGGAAGGTGAAATGCGAATTCCTTTATCTGATGTTCCTAGACGGAATGATGGAACCAAACCTTACCTTAGTCTTTCGAGGTGCAGTCCTACGAGTTTTCCTATGCAACAATTAGCCTTTGAAATTGAGAAAGCAACACCGAAAGCGAAAAACGACTGTAAACAACCAAATACTAAACTCCCATTCCAACTACTTGGTGTTTCACTACAGGCGACAGCTCAAAAGTTAATTGTCAACGCCAAAGTATTCTTTGACAGTAACCAGGTACAGTGTGAAATACTAACAGGAAACTCTGTCACCAAAACTAGCCAGATTCTAGGAATTGGAGAGAGAACAGTTTATCAGACAATGGAGAATTACAAAACGAATAGTATAAAAACACCTGGTAAGAAACGTATTAGACCAACGCCAGTGATGGATCAGTTTGACGACTTCCGAACTGAGCACGTTAAACGAATCATTCATCAATTCTATGCTAATAATCAAGCACCAACAATGCATAACGTATACACAAAACTGATGGAGGAAGTCAAGGAAGAAGAAGATGGTCGGATAGCCCGAGGAGAAACTCTTACAGCGTTCAAATGTTCCAAGTGGACGTTAAGAAAACTCATTAAGCAATTAGGATTTAGATTCAAAACTGTTGATAAGCGAGCAGTTATCCTCATGAGATCAGACATCGTGCAGAAGCGATATGAATATCTGTCCGTAATGATTAAAAATCGTCAGTCCGAGAACCCAAAATGTGTTGTCTACACAGGTTTGGCTGATTAAATATCAAAAATGTTTTAATTTAATTTAATATAATTATTAATGCATTATATTTATTCAGATGAAACGTGGGTCGATAGTTATGCTAGAACTGGAAAAGGCTGGGTTATTAATTCACCAAAGTCATTTCATGAAGCGGCTTTATACTCCTTCCAAAACCCGAAAATTTCTAGAGGACCACGTATCATTGTGATGCATGCAGGTGCAGTTCAACTATCCACATTAAATAGGAAATTATTTCAAAATAATAATTATCTTCACAGGTGGAGAGGATGGATTCGTACCTGGCGCTATGAAGGTATATCCAGTATCAAAGAAGAAAGTCCAGATGGATTACCACGCAAACGTTAACGGTGTCGCTTACATGGCTTGGTGGAAGGATCTTAATCAAAAGATAAAAGATAATTATGGTCCATGCATAATTGTTATTGATAACGGTGATATCATCCAATAATTTGTATTTGTAAATTCCATTTTAATTTGAATTTCATTTATTTAAATTTGTCAGCTCCGTATCACAGCACCAAGGAAGCCCCAAAATCTACATCCCGAAAACAAGAGCTATACGACTGGCTGAATGATAATTTAGAGGGCCCTGAAAAGCTGAAACTAAAACCTGTAAAGCAAATGAGACGACCTGAATTATGGAAAATGGTTTAAGACCTTAAAAACGGAAATGAATATTACATTGTGGATAAGGAGGCATTGAAATATGGAAACACTGTTGTCCGGTAAAGTTATTTTCTATTCATGGGTAATTTACTAATAATTTGTAATATTTATTTAAACACTGTATTTACGTATTTTCCAGATTACCCCCATATAACTGGTAAGAACTGGTAATCATAGGTAACGGTAATAAGAATATTCATGTAATAACTATTTTTAGCGACTTGAACCCAATTGAGTACGTGTGGAAAGACATCAAGCACGCAGTTAGGGCTGCAAACACACAGGGGACCGCTGAGTTTGCACAAGCTGAGGCTGAGAGAATTATGACAACATACACAAAGGAACAATGGCAGAAACACATCAAACATGTGCACCGGTTCGTAAAACCAAGATTCGCTATTATGGGAATAATTCGCAATTTCTACATTATTATTGTAAATAGATTGGAGGACGAGTATTGGAAAAATGATGGACATTTTGATGACTTCCTTGATGACTTCCAAACACGTGTAGCTTCAGCCAACCCCATTCGAGTGAGTTCTTGGTGACAGTAAACTATTAGTAAAAAAATACATAACTTATACATAATATACAGATTACAGCAGCAGATGATGTGTCTGACGACGAAGATGAGGACCCTGACGATGTTGACGAAGTAGTTGATAGATTCCGAATGCAAATACACAATGATATTGAATACTCACAGGCTGGGGAAGAAGAAGACTTGCCTGAAGAAGAATGTGCAACTTCTAGGAGGAGATTAACCTTCCCACCAGAATCAACCTAGATTTTAACTTCAATGGATTCAATACATAATAAATATTATAAATAGTGAATCCGATTTGTACATAGTGTTAAGAATTATTATTCATTAAATTTGTACGAAATTTTCAAAAATATGCCTACCCCTCTCTACTTAACATTCTTGCAAAACTGAAAACTTTAAAATAATGTCCCGTTTAGTAAAATACAATAAGTTATTATTTGACCCTTCAGGGGCCCTTAACTCTTGACCTATACGTCACAAAAACCAAAAAATATTTTTCTGATTCCCCTGGTCCAGGGGATTAATTTGATACCCCATTCACCTTAGTTACCATGGTTACTATGTTGACCCTTCAGGGACCCTTAACTGTTGCCCGATAGGTCAAAAAAATTCAGGAAAATATTTTTATGCTTGCCCTTTGCCAGGGGATTAATTTGATACCCCACTTGCATCGGGTTACCATGGTTACTATTTTGACCCTTCGGGGGCCCTTAACTCTTGACCTGAGGGTCAAAAAAATCCAGAAAAATATTTTTTGGGTTCCCCTTGTCCAGGGGATTAATTTGATACCCCACTTGCCTTTAGTTGTGAGGGAATGATATTTAACCCTTCAAGGGCTCCTAGTTCACGACTCAAGGGTCATAAAAATTTATAAAAATATTTTTCTGGTTCCCCTGGTCCAGGGGATTAATTTGATACCCCATTTGCATGGGGTTATCAGGGAACGCTATTTGACCCTTCAGGGGCCCTTAATTCATGACCCAGGGGTCATAGAACGCTAAAAATAATTTTTCTATACTATTCCCATGCTAGACTTTTATTTTGGACCAGTTTGGAGGAAAAAATTTTTTTGACCGGTGACGTCGTGAAATTAATGCTACAAAGCGGTGTAATAAGTCTGCAGGGTTAGAACTTCATCCACAGTAAGCTCAAACAAGTATCTGGGATCATACAAATGCTAAAATTATGAAAATCCGATTAAAATTCGATTTTTGAATTAGAGCAGTTTGGCATTGGCGTCGTCATTTAGGATTTGTGGCGGTGTGACCATTGCCAAAACCTTTCTACATTTTTCGTAGACTCCCCTAGTACAACAATATATACACCGACAGAATCGATGATTTTGTAGGGGAGGCATTGTTCCCATAGGTGTTCATTAACATGAAATATTAATGCGATGGTTTATTCGATAATCCGGTTGATTAATTCGAAATATTTCGTGAAATTCTAAAGAGTTGCCTTAATTGCTTTTTGTAAAAAAAATGCACCACTTTTCATTTCAACTTTATGTCATTCTGTGAAAGTCAGGTCATGTCCTGTTGAAAATTCTTGAGCTCATTTATAGCTATACTAGTCTACCATCTTGAACCTCTTCACCGGAAAGGCAAAATAAGATCCCAGATACTTTTTCTTTATAGCTTTCTTTCTAGATTCAGGTAGTCCTTAACTTATTTAATGTTGGTATAAAATGCAATTTCAGTTATATAATAATTGAATGTTAACTTTGACCCATGCCCTTATAAATAAATTTTTACTTCTTTTGTTTCTCTTATTTCCTATTTGGAAATTGAACTTTGCCCAGAAGTTTTTATAACTTGGATCTGATTCGAGGTTTCCGGCACAATACTGTTAAAGATTGACGTACCAAATGGACTTTGACCAGTATATGGTTCAACAATTTTCTTAAACATCCCACAGCTTCAGCAATAATCCCACACACAAAGCCACTCTCAACAAGTGTCACGTTGCCCTCAATCATAAAAATCAACCCCGACACGCATAACAACACTCCACAAATGGCAAACATATACTTCAACGCTTCCACGGAGACGGGGGTGCATTCATGAAACTCTGGCTGAAACGGGACCCTACTGTTCACCTGGGCCGAATACGTATCGTACACTTCCTTCGCATATGTCCTCATGCGAGATAGCGCTTTTTACTTTTTAAACGTGCGCGACCATATGTCGACCAGCCCGCCTTCGACGAGTTTCTTGTACACTGAGTAGAACCGGGGAAATATTAAATTCCTTAACCCACGCATAACCTTGACAGTTTGAAACCCAGTCTCATCACGACCATGAATGACGAATCGCTTACCCTGAAATTTTATCGGTTCGAGCAAATATTGTAGATCCCCGGGCTGTCCATCATTGCACAAGTTTTCCTTGTTTCGAGCTGGTTGATTGGGTTTGAATTGGAAATATCTCGAATAAGCATGGCACTCCAACCTTTCCTTATTCCGACGAAAATTAGTCGTTCGTCGAGTGCATCAATCGCCTTTAAATACGCCAAATTTCCCGCCATCGCCACTTTTAACTCGGGGATTATGAGGACCGACTTTATGTTTCTACTCTTCGACGAATGTCTATTCGACTGGAATTCCATTATGGTTAAGACGGGTAGTTGGGAGGATAACAGCTCGGCCATCGTGACGGGTACTTTCGGCAGTTCAGGAACCGATAAGAAAGAAAATATCGACCCCTGGTACAAATTTGCCATGAGAATGTAACACCCGAAAAACCAGACGGTCGAACCTATCACGGTGACATGCCGGTTTGCAAATATTTTCGTGACGTCGCCACTCCCACTTTGCCCCAATAGGATGGCGCTCACGTGGAAAACGTTGCCCCCAATGTAGTCTGCCCCACGTCGACCCGGTAAATCCAACTCCTTGATGAAGATACGGAAATCGGAACCAAAGTTGACATTCCCATTCAATGGAATTTGTAGTGAAATTTAAGCAAAATGAGTAATGAAACCAAACAATCTGATATTTCGAGTAAAAAATCCGTTCTAAGGAGGACAACCCTTGACTGACAGAATCACCGATCTTGATGCCCTTTGGACATGTTGTAGTACTAGGCGAGTCTAGCAAAAGCGTAGAAGGATTTCATTCCATGGCCCCATTTGCGCCGGCCACACCCCTTTTAAGGAGCGCCCAATACTAAACTAGCCGCAGTAAAATCTTCGCCAAACATCCAATTTTGCTCGGATTTTCAAAAAAATTACATATTCTTGATCCCAGATAGTTGCATCATCATATCCAATATCAAACTCATAATACCCTCAACTCATAATATTTCAACGTCGACAAAGGTAAAAAATTCCAGGGAGTTGGGCGTTTCACGGGCGCGAAAGCTAAGGAGAGAAGATCATAGTGGTCGGCGTTCTGACTGGCTGAAGACCAATTGAACTTCCCCTAAATGTAAAGATTAATGCACAAGTATTTAAAAACAGTGTTTTAAAAACATTAGTGAAAGTTCATCTTCCGGAACTCTATCCTGGCGAGCTAAACAAAATCTTAATTCATCACGATAAATCTTCCTCACACACCGCCCAGAAAGTCGGAAAGTTCTATTTATTCTGGAATGTTTACTTCCTGCTCGATATAAAGTCCGCAACGTGGAGGTAAAACTGATTAAAATGTTGAATAATTTTGCAGTATTCATTTTCAAGTTTGGGTATGTAGCAGGGAAAAAATTTCATATGTGGTAATTTCCAACCTGTATTCTATCACTGCACACTTCTATATTTCCACTTAGAGTAATAATTCCTGGTTTTTGGCTTCTACCAAAGAGTTGGAAAAGTAAGGTCAACCGATAGTGTAACTATAAACTAAGTATATGAGTCTCACAAGCGCCTGCACTTCGGTACTTACCACATTTAAATGCACTGCGAATGGATCACAAATTTCGTACATATGTAATAATAACACTTATATTGTGAAAATATACAAGTAATAAAGTATTTCCATAGTGGTTCCTCGAGATGAGTTTAGCGGCTCTCACCATACCCGCCCTTATGGCTGATGGAAATCTGGCATATTCAGGCATCTATTGATTTCTCGGTATCAAAGTTGCAACGACGTAGTACTAACACTATACCGGACTGTTAAAACTATTACCATGTGGTAAAATATTGATACCGAGGTAAAATTACTAGACTACTATATTTTAATCAATACCGCTTAGATTAATTAAAACCAAACCATATGTACACTCTTAGCAACTTGGTAATAAAAAAACCAGCGGAGTAGATATACGACTCTACCGTGACGGAATTAAAAATTTACACCATGTTGGTATAGATTTAGTAATAAAATAACACTTTTTGGTAATAATTTTAACACTAATTTGTGTTACTTTTTTTACCATATAGTATTGTTTTAATACCAAATCATTACTATCGCGGTAGAGTCATATATGCACTCCGCGCAGTAATGATTCATTAAAATTTTGTTTAGAGTGTAAAGATTGCCTTGTATTATTCTAATACTGGATTTCTAAGAATGCGCGTATATAATTGGTTTTGCTGAGGGTTATTAATTTGAGATGATGCTATGAGATTGAAATAATTAATCCTTTTCTTATTGTCTAATTGTATAACTACCTAATAGGTAGTACCTATCAAAAGCTAAAGTAGAAGGGCGGTTATGGGTTGATATGGCGGATATTAAAGTCCACGTGTTTTCGATTAGGGATTAGTTAACCTATGTATATATTAAGGTATATTGTTATTGCTCTAGTGATTAATTCCTGGATTATTATTTTTGTTAATGCGGGCCTACATATTTAGTTTTTGTTTGTATTACGCATATATCGTAAATTGCGAATTGTTTACAGTTTTCTTTTACATTGTGTAACACAATTTGTGTTCAGGTCAAATTTCGAATTAAGTCTAAATTAGTAACATTACTAATTTAAATAACCCATGATCGTGGATTTTGTCAAAATTAAAGTAAAGAATCTTTTGTGGTAAACAATGTGGTTTATAATTTTAACGAAAAGTAATATAAGGTTTAAAACAATAATTTCCTAGTGAATTTTAATTCCAGGTAGATATTTTTCATTTGCAAGGGTTCATAAATTCATTACATGATACAAACAACTTGAATGTTTTGTCGACTTTCAATGCTTCGCTTTTTTGCAATCCTGGATAAAAAATAATGCCTAGATTATGGCAAATTCTGACTTTTATCCGCAAGGCGACCCTTGGCATGAACCTTGGTCCTTTTCTACAATGTTGCAATTAATCATCAGGTAAATTTTATCCAATAGTTGTGATGACCTAAAGTTTTACTCAATTTGTTTACAGTACGTTACACAGATATATTCGTGAAAAGTATTTTGTGCATGTTTTAGAGTACCTCACAATGTCAAAATAAATGCGACATACCTACTATGTGGACAAAGTTTTAAAACCACTTTTAGAGGAAGAAATTCCAAAACGTTATCCTGGTGAGACCCACAAGGTGATGCAATAACTTAATTGTCATTTAGATAATTTTATTTTGGACTTTTCGTTGTGCTCCATTGCTTCACCTAAGCAGTTCAACTTAGAGTTTATTATAATTATCTGATTGTCAACGACATTTTGAAACTATGCGAATATATAAATTTATTAGATTATATACTTTTTATAACGCAACAATTTTAAATTTTTGTTAGTGTAGTCTACATTTGAAAAGTCTACTGGAAAAACAACGGGAATTGATTCGTCAACTTGCCCCATTTTGTTATTACATTCTCTTGGTAATACCCGACACTGCTAAATTGCTAAAGCACCAAATATTTATCGCTACATTGTATTTATTTATAATATGAATTAAAATTCAAATTAATTTCCAATCAGAAAATTCTGATGAAAGCAGTTTGACGTTTCACGTAAAAAATTATCACAGCTCTACACCAGCTAAACATTCTTGCAACTTTTGCAACTATACGACCAACCACAAATCTCATCTAAATCGTCACATGAATGGGAAGAACAATTGTCAAGTATAGCCTACGAATATTACATATTTGTGTAGAAACAATTTTCAGATGCTCCAATCAGAAAATTCTGATTGGAGCATCTGAAAATTGTTTAGTTGCAAAAGTTGCAAGAATGTTTAGCTGGTGTAGAGCTGTGATAATTTTTTACGTGAAACGTCAAACTGCTTTTGTCCAGATAAGTCCGAGGGCATTCTTGGCAAGGGAAAACTGGTTGACCTGTCGAGTCTTGTTGGTGTGTCCACTGGAATAATATTAAATTTTGTATAAAGTCATTAAAATCATTTAGGGCGTTACATATGTATAAAGATTCTTAGCAAAATTATAATGAATCATTACTGCGCGGAGTGCACACATATATGACTCTACCGTGGATAGTAATATTCTATTATTGCACAGAATTAAATTGTTATAGCTTAGAATAAACTCATTATAGGGGCAGTAATGAATCAATATTAAAGTATGTTGATTTATTACGGCCACTATAAAGAGTTTATTTTAAGCTATAACAATTCAATTCTGTGCAGTAAAAAATATTACTATCCACGGTAGAGTCATATATGACTCTAAAAAAATTTGAGTAAAATTTACTCAACTTTGAGTAAAATTGCTGATGACACAACTATTGAGTAAAATTTACTCAACAAAAGTTAAAATTTATCCAACTTTGAATGATTTTTGCTCAACCTTGAGTAAATTTTAACTTTGGCGGGTTAAATTTTACTCAATAGTTGTGTCATCAGCAATTTTACTCAACTTTTTTTACAGTATACATATATGCACTCCGTGCAGTAATGATTAGTGTTGGTAGATCCAATCCGGCAATATCCGGTCCTATCCGATCCGACGGATTTTTTGATCCGTCCATTTACTATAACATGATCCGATCCTATCCGATCCGATGATCGGATTATCGGATCGGATCATCGGATATCCGATTCGTCGGATCCATGTTATAGTAAATGGCCGGATAATGCCCGGATAATCCGGTCGGAGCGGATATCCGCGGATTACCATCACTAGTAAATTACTAGTAGTAATGATTCATTATAATTTTGCTAAGAGTGTATGTACAAAGATTCTTACCAGGTATACTATTAACATGGGTGGAGAGTCCAGGGTACCCACTATGTTTTCTAGAATCTACTAGGACCCTAGATGAAGGATCCATTCCTTTTTCCGTGTAAAACTCATATTTGGCGCCATAGCGTGGCGCCAAACTTCAACATCAGCGTTTTCGACCAATTTCAAATCCCCATAACTTTTACAATTTCCGCGGGATTTTCAAAAATTTTGGCTTAAAATGATCACAAAGGTCAAAATTTCAAGAAATAAATAAAATATTTAAAAAATGTATTTTTTGAGAAATTTTTAAGATTTTGTCTTTAATTGCCCATGCCGAAAAAAATCCAAAAAATTAAAACAATCAATTTTTTGAAAAATTTCATAACATTCGAAAGTTCGACTCTTTGTCATGATCTTAGCCAAAAATTTTGAAAATCTGTCCAGGATTTAAAAAGTTATGGCGGTTTTAAAATTTAAAACATTCAAATTTGGCGAATGTGGCGCCACGCCATGGCGTCAAATATGAGTTTTACACGGAAATATGAATGGATCCTTCATCTTGGGTCCTGGTAGATTCCAAAAAACATAGTGGGCACCCTGCACTCTCCACCCATGTTAATAGTATACCATGTTAGTTAGCTCACCCTATGCCTCACAAGAGCGCTAATATCTAAAAAAGTCCACCCACATATGGTACACTTGTTGGTTCTCTCCTTCGTATGAGAGGCAATGTGTTTGTTCAAATTTCCCCTACTTTTGCATTCCTTTTTGCACAAGGTGCATCCATAACGGACTGGATTTTCGTCATGCTGCATCTTCCAGTGCCCGGTAAGACTATACTTGTTGGAAAATGTACTCCCGCATCCGGGAAAACTGCACGGCACTTGTTCTCGTTCCGTCGTATGAATATTGATATGACGATCTAGGCCTCCTCTAGATTTCAATTTTCTGCTACAAAAATAGCACTCAAAGAATCTAGAAACTAGGTCGTGCATCTGCTTATAATGGGTTGACATGCTGTTCTTGTATTGAGTTTTAAATTGGCATGACGGACATGAATATTGTTTGAGGGTCGAATGATAATATTTTGTATGGTAGTGGAAGCCAGAGTTGGATAAAAAGGTCCGCGGACACTCTGGACAAGTAAATCTTGTTCGGGAAGAATCGTCCAAATGTATCGCCTAACAAAACAAATTTGAGGAATTTTATTAACATCCAACTATAAGATGATTAAATCCCTACACAAAATATATTTAGTAGGGACTCATGCAAGGTTGCATCTCAGACGTCTATAATGTTACGTTGTTTTGGCCGAAGTCACTTCGGCGAAGTGAGACACCAATTTAAGTAATTATACAATTTTGGCTTAGATTTAGGCCCGCACTTATTTAGCTGAACCTTCCCACCTATTTGGATCTTACCATCCACTAGCTGAAACCTCCAATTTCTCAATAGTTTGAAAGTTGCACAGGCTGTATGTAAAAGTGAAATCCAAAATCGATTAGTGGCTTCATTTGTAAACGTATACTACGACTATTCAATTAGGTAATTCAAGGAAGGTTGCGCTAAGTTGGCGCAGAAGGTTTCTGCCAGAAGCCAAAACCGTACCTTTAGGTCAAAAGCGCAAGGGGAAAGGGTTGCTCACAAGGCTGGTATTGTTACGTAAAATTTTTAATTGCAAATCAGAAATAAACTTGTATGCATTATCATAAGAATTTCTGTATAATTTACTTTAAATAATGGTTTTTGTGCTTAATCCTTTCATTCGGGGAATCAGATAAGTCGTTTGTGGCCACCACTAACTAAATAAGTGGGTAGAAAAAATCGTCGTAGTGGAGATTTCAGCTAGTGTTAGGTAGCGTTAAAAAAAGGTTCAGCTAATTAAGTGGTGCATTAAATTTAGGTCTAAAATTTTGTATAAACGGATTGTCTCAACTCTCAATAAACCGCTTAAAAACTAAAATCCGAGATGGAACCTTGCTCGAATTAATCAAATTTCGTATGGGAATTTTATAGATGGAGAACAGTAGATCATTGACCTGCAAAATGAATCGAGCGTATTAAATTGTTGAATTTTTCAACAATGTTTCGGTAACAGCATATATAATTTGCCAAGGTTTTGTTGAACTTCTTTAACGACACCAATTTCTACCAGTAATCTTGGGTTTGACCCCGGTAAAAATTTCGAAAAAAAATTACAGGGTTTATATGAAACAACTGAATATGAGCAAACTGGGAGGCACAGATTTAATGGATTCGAAATTATGATTAATGTTTTCCCACAAAATTTTCCATTTTCTCGGTTATCTAATCGAAAAAAAAGGTTTCCAGTTCTTCTAAACTTTTATAAATAAATTTGTAATATATTGTTTCTAATGTTGATTACTAAATTCTAAAGATAACACTAAAAAAATATCCAGGATGGACCATGCTTTTCCTGCAGGGTCCCTTGACATTGCGCTATTATGAAATTATGAAATACTGTCCCCCAAAAAATACCACTTTACATTTGGATATTTAATAACAAGTTAAGCACATTTGTTCGTAAAATTTTCCAGTTACATACCTCGTGCAGTCTGAGTAACTGCATCGTAAGGAAGCTCCTCCCACATGTCCCACATTTGAAATATTTCTCCGTCGTATGAGTGCCAAGGTGTTGAGTTAAACCGCCCTTAAGTTTAAATTTCTCGCCACAAATGGGACAATCAAATCGAACCGGATTTGCGTCATGCTCCGTTCTAAAGTGCGTCTGTAGACTTGCCTTTGTCAGAAATGATTTCTCACAAGGAGAAAATCTGCATGGAATTCTTAATCGTGGAGTCGCGCAATGAGCGGTTTTTAAATGCTGTCGCAAATTTGGGAGAGAACGGAACTCATTGCCACAAATGTCACATGGCAAATTTTCTTGATTTCCATGCACGTACGAGAGATGGCCTGGAAGGGACAAAGTTCTCAAGGTTTTGCCACAAATCTGTAAATTTTGGAAAAACATTTATTATTTCGAACTGTGTATAACCCCGCGTTTGAAACTTTTATGGAAAAAGTACTGCCTCCCACTCATTTCTCAACCGTAAGTTTGACGAGTTACCATTCCGGACAATATGAGTTGGCCATAATTGAATGGAGGAACTTTACAAATTGATTAGTGGAGTAGTAAAAAAAACATACCTCGTATTTTACTTGTCCTACTGGGTCGTGAACGAAGACATGTCTTCTTAGATGAGCATTGGTTTTAAAAGCTTTCGAGCAGTGGGTGCACGTCCACTTTTTTATTTGATTTAATTCCATTTTATTGATTGAATTCGCGGTCGAAATTTATTAAGTTCTCACTTGATTATGAAAAGTCTTATTTATTTATTTATTACAAATCTCAGAAATACGATTTCTGTTAGTAAATATGTATACATACTTATCTCTACGCGACGCGTCACCAACTATAAGTCAGTAGATATGGCGGGAATTAAGTAAGTTAAATAAAATTCCAAAACACGCGGGGCATTACCGACAAGAGTTATTTACTTGTAAATAAAGTACTTTAAAGTTTGAGTATGCTAAGTGTAGAGGGTTCAGTCGTCCGATTGGATGTCAGGTCTTCAACCCTCATTGGAGGACTGATTTTGTAATCACGGGCAAAGTCGAGAAACTACAGTTTTAAAGTGAAATGTAGTCCTTCATCCCTCCAGCAGACTCATTTCCGAATGCATTTACCTTTACCTTAACGCAGTAAAGGTTTTTTGACCCTAATTTATTTATAGAAAGGTGCATAATTTAGAAAGGCAAAATTAATGCTGGGCGACACACGGACATATTTGTGATGAATGCACTGCATACATACATACAGTTTCCTACTTCATATATATAGATATGAATTATTTCGATGCTTTCGAACTCTGAAACATGAAGAAATATTTTCCTACTTACTTCAATTTACACATAACGAAAAGGTTAAATACTTTTCAGAATTCTTGGTATATTGTCATACATATGTTGGTCATTATCTTTCGTATAAAGGGACTCGCATCGAAACGGGGAAAAAGGCTGAGAAAAGTATTGTGGGAAAATGCAACAAATATTTATGTTGAGGTCGATAGTTATTGTAAAATATGAAATATTAATGGATCCTACATCTTGGGTCTCCGTAGATTCTAAAAAAACTTGATGGTAACCTGGACTCAAACAACGGGTTATTTTATCTGTGAGTTATTTTATTACTAATGTTCTTCATTTTCTCTTTCTATTATTAGCCAACATTCTACTTTAAATTTGATTTTCGCACTTGTTTATGCACATAAATACGTTACGAAAAATCTTTAAAAACCATTACTTGGAAGGTAATGGTTCATGGTCCACGCCATGGCGCCAAATATGCGATTTTCAGTGAAATAAGAGTGGATACTTCATCTGAGGTCCTCCTAGATTCTAAAGAACATAGTGGGTACCCTGGACAGGACTATCACCTGGAAAGTCTCCCTAGTTATATGGGAAATGTACCTTTTCTGGCGGCCTCCAAATCCGATGCCGAAAAAATTTAGCATCAAACTTGAAAAATAAATTTTAGTGAGATTTCTCCACTAATTTAGAGAAACACTCCCATTTGGTAGACTTTGTAGTGAAATTCAAGCAATTCAGGAAAATGAGTAAAGGAAACCAAACAATCTGATATTTCGAGTAAAAAATTCGTTCTGAGTATTTACTATGAAGAACTATGAATATTCAGAACTATGAATAACAGAATACAGAAGTATTTACTATGAGAACTTGACACGAGACATGCAAATTTGCAGACATCGACACAAGTTATGCCAGTGTTCAAGCAATCAAACTAATAAATAACTAATAACGCTTTCCGTTTTTGCAAGAAATTTTTATTTTTCAAATTATTTGGCTGGGCTCAAATATATCTGTACAAAAATGTTTATTAATAAATTCGGCACATCAAATTCAGTAAATCGCTATAATTAGAAAATTTAAAGCTTGACATGGTGCTAGTCGTTCCTCCCAGTTGAGGATCCGCCCCGATTTCGGTAGCCTAACGCCTCCCACCCAAACATAAGTTCCCTACTTGATCAAAGGCAGCAGCCCTTCAAAAGGTCTCACACCCCCAAAGGGTGTCCCGCCCCCAAAAGGTGTCACGCTCCCAAAAGGTCTCAAACTCCTTAAAGGTCTCAAACTCCTTAAAGGTAACCCACTACCAAAAGGTCTCTCAACCACTAAAGGTCTCACAACCACGAAAGGTCTCTCACCCTCAATAGCTCTCCCGCTCCCAAATGCTCTTTGTCCCTCTCCATGGAGAGGTATCTCATCTCCGAAGGGTCTCACCCCGCCGAAAGGTTTTGTGCCTCCAAAAGGTCTCAAACCCCCAACAGCTCTTTGTCCCTCACTCCCAAGAGGTCCCTGGTTCCCAAAACCTGTCCCACCCCCAATAATTCTGTTTCCCTCACCTGCAAAAGGTGTCAGGGCCCCAAAAAGTCCCCCACCCCCAACAGCTCTCTGTACTTGATCCCCAAAAGGTCTGGGGGCCCCAAAATCTGTCCCAGCACCAATAGTTCTCTGTCCTTCACCCCCAAAAGATCTCTGCCTGCCAGAAGGTTTCTCCCTACTGAAGGATTCATCACCGCCGAAAGGCCTGTCCCCGCCAAAAGTTCTCCCCCCGCCGAACGATCCTTCCTCACCAAAAGCTTTTCCCCCACCGGACGATCCCTCCCCGCCAAAAGCTCTCCGCCCGCCGAACGATCCCGCCCCGCCAAAAGTTCTCCCCCCGCCGAACGATCCTTCCTCACCAAAAGCTTTTCCCCCACCGGACGATCCCTCCCCGCCAAATGTTGATGAAAATTCTCGAAACGGATCATCGTTTTGCATAGTTCCACCTGTAATAAAGAATACTTAATAATTCCGATAAAATACGAAACCCTACCTTCTCAAACTCTTACTGCTCTCTCCCCTATCCCGATCTTCCTGACCACGCACTGCTCCCAAAAGAAGCGCAATAACCACGAGATATTTCATGTTTAAGAAGGCTGACTTGCAAAATAAATCAGCACCAATTCAAGTACTGACCTGGAAATTTTCAAGCCTCGCTGTTATACACATTTCACTCCAATTCCAAAAAAGTGGACAAAAGTATGTAAATATTTAACGATTTGCAGACTATGATTTACTTCAGACATGTAATTTAATTGCATACATGCTTACTACTTTTCTTAATCTCTGTTATTAGCATGAAATCATATCTGAATAATTTACTCAATTTCACTCCCATATTTGTCTATTTAAGTTTACAGGTATCCAAAAAACTGGTTTTAACTCGGTAGCCACACGCGTCCACACCAAATATGTATCTAGGTATGTATGTAAGCCATGAAAGTTGCAACCATACAAACATTGTTTTGTCATTAAGTGTATAATTACTCCACCCAGTTTAATTAAGGTGGAAGCTACCAGATTTTGACAGTTGATTAAGTCGTCTACGCCTGTTCTCATGGAGCAGATGAACACAAATACATGCCACATCGAATCTTTGAGGTAGTCCAGACACGTACCTAACTCGGAGCAATGTGTACCTTGTATACATATGTAAATAGGTATACAAGTTATCTATTTCAATAAACACGAGCCCATTAAATATTATTTAACCTCTTAAGGACGAACTACACACATTTGTGTAGAGGATGATTTTCCGTTGAGGACGAAGTACACACATTTGTGCACTGCAAAAATTACCTTGACACCAAAATTTCTAAAAAAAATAAGAGTATTTCTTTGGCAATTTGTGCAAACTCGATGGTGAAAAGTGGATTTTTGTTCGATATTTTTCTTCACAAATTTTAGAACTTTCCCTATATCAACCAATGTTAGAAAGTTGATTTTTCGTGTTTTTCGCGAAAAAACTCAAAACTTGGAAATTGGGGGAAATAAATTCCGTCTTTTATGGGAAATCATGAAAATTTTAATATGTTGCTACCAAGTTTAATTATGAAATCATCATCGGCCCCAAGAGAAATTGTATATAAAAATCAGTAGTATCAAACAGGTTAATGAGCACAACTTAAACTTCATATTTTGATAACTTGTTTATATGTATTTAATTTCGGGAGCTGTTCTGATCATTTGTCTGCAAATATAGGGCGTTCAAAAATTATTTCAACCTGGAAATATTATGACCCCTCCCTTGACTCATATTTATAGTGGTATGAAAATCATCCCATCCTTTGTGCAAGGTGCGTAAAAACCCAGGCGTTTCTGTGCTTTCCCAGGAAATCTTCACGACCTGTTTCCCAAGTGTTGAGAGTGGTACATAAGTGTAAAGGGTGTTCCTTTAATCCGCTCACACTCATTTTTCAGCGCACGCTTGAGATAAAGTCAAGTGTTATTATTGATCCCGTTAATTTTTTCAAGTGACATTTTTACCATGAGTGGACCAAGGGCAAAGGTCAATTATGAGCATCTTAGAGTTCAAATACAAGCGTTGGCTAAACAGAAATTTAAAGATTGAGGTGCCATAGAAGTACAGGCTGGAAATGGAAGAACAGAATTTTTTTCATAGATAAAAAGTGACTTGGTGACGGGATAATGTGATAACCCAGCAGGTTATCACGTACCATAAAAAAGGATTAAGCACAGAATTTGTGAGAAAGCATCAAGTTCGCTACGTATTTGTGCAAGGGAACCGAAGGACTCAAAACGCTTCAAAACTAAGTCAAAGCAAATTGACTTCACAACAGTGCACAAGTTTGTAAAATCTACAAATTGGGGTCACACAACTTATAAACTAACCAAGGAACCACTAGTATCCCAAAAAACATTGATGATCGTTTGAAATTTGGAGGAATACTTCAAAAAAGTGGTCATTTTGATGAAAAACACAGTGTCAAAAACTGTGGCGTCATATCTTCTGGACTGGTGAATTCCAAATTAAGCTATATCCAGAATTGAACCGATAAAATTGTAGGCATAAAACCGAAAAAAATCGAATGTACCACAGAAGCGTGTCACAAAATTTGCATTGCAAGTTATCGTAGCCATTGGTTTGTGCGTGTGGCGTGACAACCATTTATAGTATACCAGAAGCACAGGATGTCAATCCGAAGAATTTTATGTAGGAAATACCACCCATATACTTCGATAGCATAAACAACAAGGAATTATTTCTAAATAAGAGAAAATTAACTTTCATGCTGGGTGGGGCTCCAGCTTACACCGAAAACTAACTGTGAGGCAAATCGAAGGCCAAGTTTCAACAGTGTCGACCAAGGAGGTGTGGCGCGACAGCATTCCGGGCGTTTTGGAGAACCTATGGTCCATTCTAAGGAAAACGTGGCTTTGGTTATACTTATACTTTTAAAAAACAATCATTTTCTTTTTGCAGTGAAAAATGTGATAGAATTAAAGGAACACCCCGTATGTATTGATATATTACACTTAAATTGACCATTTTCATTTGTGTGTACACTCTTGGGAAGCTGGTGTTACATCATTGCTGGCCAAAGTACTTATATTTGCATACACGAGCATCACAAATGGATATTTTACCACCCTGAAACAAACTACTACAAGTCCGGTAGGAAATTACACAAAATCAGTGCCAGCAGTATTTATAAATTATGTATTTGCAAATATGGATTGAATATTTGCAAAACCAAATAGTCCAAATTGTTTTGTATTTCAAAATTTTCGTGTTTTTTTGTGCAATTTTTCCCCACTAATATAGTTTCAGGTAATCTAAATTTTTAGTTGGCTAATAGTTGGATATATTAATCTGTATCTAAATTCACAAACTTAACCAGTCTTGGTATGCGGCCCCTATGCGATGCCTACCCTGCCTACCCTAGTTCCGCTAGTGGTTGACGCTGTACTTCAGTTATTGGCTCACTTGTAAAATACATCACATTTGAATGGTTAGTTAGGAAATTGTTTATTGGAATAAATTTTAAAAAAAACTATGAAATCTAGTTGACCTTGCAAATATTAATTGTAGGAATAGAGATGGGAGTTAAATGAAGAAAGTTCATGAAATAATTCGAAAATGTTGTACTAAATGTAAATTCAATGTTAGTAAATGTAGAAAAAATTAGGATTTTGTGTATAAGGAGTTATTTAGAAAATACTTATATTTTATAAAATATTTGTACAGGAAGTATGACTAATAAACATAAAAAAGCATAACAACTATATTTTTTCTGTGCATTGTAACCTAATTTTATTTATAAGATTTGTTAAAGTTACTCTACTAATAAATCAACACACTGCAAAGATTAATTTCGGGACCCAATGAAGATTTTGCTGGTCAAAAGTTATGTACACGTAGGGAGAATGCATTCGCTGGGATAGAAGCTTTCTGCGGAGTACAATCTCCGGGTCGTGGTGCTGTTCTAAACCTTGTCACCACGAGGCTAAAAATTCTCAAGGTTCGAGTTGAGCTTGCTTCGCCATGCTATGCGGGTTTTCATGATGAAACCTCCATCGTCTGCTCGCTCGCTTTAGTTATTAATGAGAATGCCTGGATATTCATACATGCGTTATTCTGGATTTCGATGCCCAAAACGTAATTTGTCGATAAGTATTGTAGTAAGTAAATTTTGCATAAAGTAGGGTATTGTTTGAAAGATTATACAAGGTATTCGGGAACTTGGGCAGTGTGTAAATATGTAGGCATAGGAGATGAATTGTTTGGAAAGACCTGTTCCAAAACAGTTTTACAATTGTCGCATTTATTTATCTCAAAAGTCAAAATATTTAAGCTGTGGTGAGCACCAAATCAGTACGCAATTTTTTAGCCTAATATTATTGATGTTGGAAGAAACATGAGAAAGTTTTTATTTTCTCACATATAAAGACTCCAGTCGACTTGAAAAAGTGCGTAGAGTAATAAATATGCTTAGGTACTGCCACTTAGGTAACTTATTTGAGATTTTTTATCTCATTTACAAATATAAATTTAGGGGCTTCCCGATATGACGTGTTGGCATACCATTCACTGTTGTGGAAAGCTAAGCAGTTTGTATTAATCAATTAAGGTATTTCAAGGTTTTCTGTTTAAAACTAAACCAAATTATGGCGTGACTGTCAAGATTTAAGTACCCTAGAGAACATTTGGTCTCTACATATTTATGGAAAATATATGCCAAGATGCGAACCCACCGAAGACGAAGGAATTAATAACAAAAGTTTAAACAAAACTGGAATGTAATACCAGAAGAAAATTTTAGAAAAACTAGCCCATATCATTGGCGTAATTACGGTAGGAAGTTCAAATACGGTAGTAAGGCATGTCTAATAAAAAATGGTTGCATAAAATATTGCACTCGTGAAAAGTAGCCTATTATGTTTCCCCCGGAAATGATGACAAATTTCCATCAACGCTCAATATGTATGAAACCCTATTATAACAGAATTTGGGTTAATTTTGAACATAAAACCTTGCAGGGCCTTCACTGATAAATAGCAAAAACTTTCCACTGGAGTGAATGGTATGCCAACGCATCGTAACGGGAAATCGATCTTTGTAAATGAGATAAAAAATCCCCGAAAAATAAGTTATATAAGTCACGGAAATTCAGGCACGGCTGGAAATTAACGCAACAAAAAATATATTAATCATGAATTGTCGAGATTATTCCTGATTATTTTCACCCCAGTGATGAATTGCGATATCAGTTTGTTACAAAACTTCTCATACTACACTGCGTTAAAAATATACGTACTCATTCCTGACGTGCTGAAGCGGTGGGAAATGTATGTAATGAAAATGTAATGTGAAAAGTCGTAGTCATGTCGCCTGGATCCGATAAATCATCTCGACTTATCACAAACAATTCTAAGGTTTTCCCAAGAGAGAACTTACATAACCTAAATAGTGAGATCAGGCTGCCCCAAATCGGGGGCCCGCTATAAAACTGGACTAATTTAATCGAGCATTTCATTCCCTGAGTGAACTGAACTACAAGCTGCAAAATGAAGGCTGCCATTGTTCTCGCCCTCGTCGCCATGGCATAGGGTAAGCTTAGGAAATTCTGAATTGAAAATCTGTAATTTTTTTAATCTTAAGTTTCCAAAAATGTTAATTACCCAACTTTCCCCTTTCTAGCCATGCCCAAGAAGGAAACCCAACCCCTCGGCTTCCCCGGTCTTAACCTTGGCAATATTGTGGGCGGAGTGGAAGCCATCCCGAACGATTTCCCCTTCATGGTCGACATGCGACGTGGCGGTCACTGGTGTGGAGGTACATACTTGCATGTGCAAATATATGGGGCAAAATGAGAATTCGAGCTAATTTGAAACAAATTAATTTTCTTAAGCCTCCCTCATCAATGAGGAGTGGGTTGTGACGGTTGCTGATTGCACAACCGCGGCGCCATCTGGTAAGATTAACAAATATCTACTTATTTAAAAAAATACTTAACGGAGTCTTGCAGACTACAGTTTGACTATTGGTGACCACAACATCAACGTCGTGGAAGGGACCGAGCAGACCCGTCAGGCCGTAATGATCATAACTCACCCGGAGTATGGAACGCCATTCCGATACGAAAACGACATCGCCCTGATGAAGGTCTCTCCCCCGTTCAACTTTATCTCTCAGGTCCAACCCGTTATACTTCCAGAGTTTAACTTTGCTCCAACTGGTAAACAAATAAACCGTTGCAAACGAAATGTCGCAAAGGGGTGAAAACACACGTAAATGTCCTTGTGGCACACCCACATCGTCTTTCAATACTTTCCCGTAAATTTCCCCAATTGTCTCACATTACCCCCCCCACGTCTCATTTCGCCCCGTGTCGACATAACTCCCGCGTACTTTGAACGTACACGACTATGCCTTTCGATAGACACCTCACATGACATAATTCAGTTTGTCGACATGGCGTCGTCTACACGGTCACCTTTACCTTAAAGTACTTAGAGCGCATTATCAGTTAAAATACTGATTAATTTTGCCTTGAGTATTGTTCCATACAGTTAATGAAGTAATTAATTACAAAAACAATTGTTATTAATTACCTAGCTAATAATAATTATGTGCTTTTGTAATTAATTACTACAGTACTTAGCTAAATAAGTTACTTATTCATTTAAAAAATGCATCATTAACGGATTTGATTGTCTTTTAAAAATGTATGGATCATTATCCGATCCGATTGGATATCCGTCGGATTGCTCGGATTCGGATCGGATCGGCCCTAATATCCGATCGGATTATCCGACATGATGAAATATCCGATCCGATGGACTGTCTATCCGATCCGATCCGATCCGATCCGTCGGATAACCAACCCTACCTACTATGGTCCATCCAGAAAGTATAGAACCACACCCACAGTGGGTGTGGTTTTTAAAATTCGAATTATGCCTCCGCATTCGCCTTGACGAGTTGAGAAAAATGATATGTCGCATGCCATGGTTTGGCAAAATTCATCGGAGGTCGATGACCACACCCACAGGGGGTGTGGTTTTTTAAAATTTGAATTGTGTCACTGCAATCCCCTTGGCGAGCTGAGAAAAATGATATGTCGCATGCCGTGCTTGGGCATGTCCTTGGAAGAAGCGCTGATGGCCACACCCCCTGTCGCCATGGGGTCACTTACGATGTCAAATCACCCAGGAGGGGGACGTGGGTACGATTTTGTGCGGTAGTAACACTAGAAACCGAGTGTGGAGGGAGTTTTTTGTCTCCTTAATTATTGTGACTTGATTTTTGACCACCCCCACAATGACTTACCATCAGGGGGTGTAACCAACTAGTCGCCAATACGACGCCCTGACTATTTCAGTCATTGCCGCCAAGAATTTACCTCGACGACCTTCAAATACCGTCGTAGAAATTTCAAATTCTATGTAGAAATGTTACTCGTTTTCTGACCTTGTGACCTCGATAACGAGGGGGTGGGGCCGAATTTCAAAAATCCGGAATTATATATTTCGCGCAAGGGTTCAGTGTTTCCAAAACGGGCGGAGTTTTGAAAATCGGTCAAGAACTGACCGTACCGTGAATTTTCAAACTCTACATGGTATTGCTTATGGCGAGGTCGGCCATTTAGCCTCCCGAGAATTCCGTAGCTCAGTACTTTCTGGATCGACCATAGTCTTATCCGCCATAAACATCATTGTGACGTAAATAAGTGACATCCTCAAGCTATCTCACGAAGATCTTCTGATCATTTCAGAAAATTCATTTATGTATTCTCAAAAGATAGCGCATACACATCCTCAAAACATCTTCATAACATCATTTCGTGCTGTACGGCTGCACTACATAAGTTATCCTCCAGACATCCCTAAATTATCACCAAGCACCATTCTTCCGCCATTATTTTGTTCCAGTCTTTCGATTTATTTACTTTGGACTTGCAGTTTTCCTTCCAAGCAGAGAGTTTAATAATTAAATTTTAAACTTATCAATCCAAATTACAGCCAATAATTCATCAATTAATTATTAGCTCGCCCTGCGTAGCAGAGGAGCTATTGAATTCCTCTTGTCCGTCCGTCTGTCTGTCCGTCTGTCTGTCTGTCTGTCTGTCTGTTAACGACTCTTTTGCTTCAATTGATGCTAATTACTGCGACTTATTCACCTTCGTGACAGACTTAATAGCAATACTGATATCGAATAATCGGAGACTCAAAATGGTGCGAAACAATTGAGAACATTGATGCTAAACGCACCAAAAGTGCAGAAGAACCGTCAGAAACACCTATGGTTTTGACGTCAAATTTTTTAAGGTTTTATGTCAAAATCAGGGTTTCTCTTCCCTGGTGTATTTTGCACCATTGGTGCAAAATTATATCCCAATTACATATATCTTTGTTCCGCATATTCTGCACCATTAATGTAAAATTTTGCCAAAATTGCGTATTCATTTTTTCCGCATATTCTGTATCATTGGTATAAAATTATACCAAAATGGTTATTACAGGGTGAGCTACTTCCACCGTTACAACGGTTTATTAGCTCACCCTGCGTAGCAGAGGAGCTATTGAATTCCTCTTGTCCGTCCGTCCGTCCGTCTGTCCGTCTGTCCGTCTGTCCGTCCGTCTGTCTGTCTGTTAACGACTCTTTTGCATCAATTCATGCTAATTAGAGCCAGTTATTGGCATTCCTGACCGACTTATTAGCACCACTGATATCGAACAATCGGAGACTCGAAATGGTGCGAAACAATTGAGAAAATAGATGCTAAACGCACCAAAAGTGCAGAAGAACCGTCAGAAACACCTATGATTTTGACGTCAAATTTTTTAAGGTTTTATGTCAAAATCATGGTTTCTCTTCCCTCGTGTATTTTGCACCATTGGTGCAAAATTATATCCCAATTACATATATCTTTGTTCCGCATATTCTGCACCATTGATGTAAAATTTTGCCAAAATTGCGTATTCATTTTCTCCGCATATTCTGTACCATTGGTATAAAATTATACCAAAATGGTTATTACAGGGTGAGCTACTTCTACCGTTACAACGGTTTATTAGCTCGCCCTGCGTAGCAGAGGAGCTATTGAATTCCTCTTGTCCGTCCGTCTGTCTGTCTGTCTGTCCGTCTGTCTGTCTGTCTTTTGCATCAATTGATGCTAATTACTGCGACTTATTCACGTTCGTGACAGACTTATCAGCACCACTGGTATCGAACAAGCGGCGACTCAAAATGGTGCCAAACAATTGATGGAATAGGTGAAAAACGCACAAAAAGTGCAGAAGAACCGTCAGAAACACTTATGGTTTTGACGTCAAATTTTTTTATGTTTTTATGTTACTCACCAAAAGTGCAGAGTATCTGGATACAATTTGTCTCCCTTTTTTCCCAAGAAAAAGTCGAAATTATGTCAATTTTATGGATCTATATTCCCCGCTTATTTTTCACTATTGATGCAAAATTATATCAAAAACATGCATTTATTTTCAAATCATTGCAAAGTTATACACAAAACCAACTGGGTTTCGGCTCTCTTTAAGCCCAAGACAGGTCGCTACTCCCGTTCATCAGGTAACCAGCAGGTTACGACCCATCAAATAACTTGGATATTCCGATTGAACCAATGAAAGAAAGATGAAGATCTAAAAACTGAAAAATACATATATGACACTAAAATTAAATAAGGGCTGGTAGTAGCATACTATGGCCGCAGTACGATAATACGTTAAAATTATTGAGGGGATGATGAGGTGATGCAAATAATTTTATTGTCATTTTTAATTACCAGAACAATTTTCAATGATTATGATAAAGATGCATATGAATTTGTACTGTTTTATGAGCTAGTTCTGGTAATGTGTGTTTCAACATTACCAGAACAATTTGCAATGATTATGATAAAGATACATATGAATTTGTATTATTTTATGAGCTAGTTCTGGTAATGTGTGTTTCAACATTACCAGAACAATTTTCAATGATTATGATAAACATGCATATGAACAGCGTGTTTCAGTGCTAGCAGATAGTTAGTTTTGGAGGTGGAATTATATCGATTTGTAGAGGAAAATGTATCCATCGCCAACGCAGTGCTTTGAGATGTATACGTTCTTATCATCATAGATTACCCAATCATTCTCCCGCCTATAATTAACAACATAATGGCCTGAACTTAAGGAATCCCCTAAATGACTAACTATCAAGGTCAAACCGTACACATTATCTGACCCGGGCAACGTTACAACATCCGATGCAAATGACTTGTCCATGATTTTTGTTCCTTGATTTTTAAAAATTTTTAGATTCACCAACAAAGCCTTTGATGCCAATACTAATTTGGATTTGAAATTTACTAATCCTGCGGATTTACACAACTCACAAAGATATTCTTGTTGCCCGATGAAATGATTTATGATGCAATCCTGTAAATTCTCTGTTGACCTTCCGATCGACAGCGAAGTACATGATTCATTTCTAGTGCTTTTACTCCCACAAGTACAAGTGACTTCAGTCTCTATGGTTGAAATATATTCTTCTAGAGACAACCCTGAGTTACTTAAGTTCTGTAAAAGGTCCAGAAGAAATAGATAAGGGTCATCTTGCATTCCAATGGGATATGATGGCATGCATGCAACTAACTCTTGCCTAGTAGTTCTTAGTTGACAAAGTGGAACTGGGGTGAGTAATGCGTGAAAGAAACTTCTTAGACAAAGAGATAGACGGTCGCGACTAACTTTCAGGAAGTCTTGGATGGATACAGATTCATATATTAAGTGAAGAATTGCGTTAATATAGCACGTGTTTCCTAAATTTGGAATACCGAGATGAATTGAAGGTGATTGGTCGCAAAGTACATTGTCTGAAGATAAATCTTCGTTATCTATTTGCATATCCATTTGTTCAGTATTGTGCGCTATGTCACTTTTGCTCACATCTACCTCCATTACTTCTATTTCATTTGGACAACTTTCTGATTCCACATATGATGGCAATATCTGTATGTCATCTGGCCATGTCACACAAATTGGTTTATGATAACTAAAATAACTTTCATAGAACCAAGCTGACACACCATATAGATTGGAAAAACATGCATCGATCGATGTGTTTCCGTCGGTACTATTTTCGACAGGAGTTATTAATCGTAAGCCCATTTTGGTGAAAATTTGTTTCATTTGGAATCCATCTTGGGTCATGAAATTTAGATTAAAGTCGCCGAAGACAATCATCGGGGTGCCTTTTGTGCCACTCAAAAGATTTTCAATGTCCTTTAAAAAAGTTGCCGCACTATACTGAGGACTACGGTATAACATACAAATCCTAACACTGTTATGTGCCCATTGAACTACTTGCAAATGTTTATTGAAACTTAAATTTCTCTGTGAATATTGAAAATCTGAAATGCTTGGACAGTCTGAGTTACTTTTAAATACCAGTGTTCCAATAGATGACTGGATAGTTGGTGAGTCTTTCCGATGCAAAACAGA